AAGTAGTGTAGTCAGAAAGCATCTTAAATATGGCCTTGGGCCATTTTCTACTGCTTTCCCAGGCCATAGAAGAGAGCTGGATTGGAAGTGAAGCAGCCGGGACTTGAACCAGCACCTATGTGGGATGCCAACACCGCAGCAGCAGCTTTACCCACCATGCCAAAGCACTGGCTCCTTAAATATTCCTTTTACACTTAGTAGTTTGCTCAGAAAAACAGTGAGCAAGATGAACTGATTGGGGCCGACACTGTGGCGCAGTGGCGCAGTGGGTTAACACCCTGGCCTGAAGCGCTGGCATCCCATATGGGTGCTGGTTCTAGTCCTGGCTGCTCCTCTTCTGATCCAGCTCTCTGCTGTGGCCTGGAAAAGCAGTGGAGGATGGCTCAAGTCCTTGGGCCCCTGCACTCGCAGGGGAGACCCGCAGGAAGCTTCAGGCTCCTGGCTTCAGATCGGCGCAGCTCCAGCCGTTGCAGCCAATTGGGGAGTGAACCAGTGGATGGAAGATCTCTCTTCTCTCTCTCTCTCTCTCTCTGCCTCTCTCTGTGTAACTCTGACTTTCAAATAAATAAATACATCTTTAAAAAAGGACAAAAAAGATGAACTGATTTGGTTTTAAGTAATTCATCAAAAAGTTAAGCAGATAAATCTTTTACTACATTGCTCTCTAAGCATATTTATGATATTGTTTAATTAGTATTGAAATCTTTATCATTAATCTGCTGAGCGTACATGAAGGCATTCCAAGGGAGGGCTTTTGATAGTCCGTGAGAGAAGACAACACAATTAGAATGATTTTCAGGATTCGTGTTGTGGGAAAGCAGGTTAAGCTGCCACTGGGAAGCTGGCATCCCATACCGAAGTGCTGGTTTGAATCCCAGCTGCTTCACTTCTGATTCAGCTACTTGCTGATGTGCCTGGGAAGGCAGCAGATGATGGCTCAGTGCTTGGACTCCTGCCATGCATATTGGAGACCAAAATGGAGTTCTTGGCTCCTGGCTTCAGCCAGGCCTAAAACCTGGCTGTTGCTGCCTTTTAGAACATGAACCAGTGGATGGAAGATCTGGCTTTCTGTCACCCTGCCTTGCAAATAAATAAATAAATCTTTAAAAATTACTTTCAATAATTTGTTAAGCATCATTGTGTTAAATTAATTTTCTTGTATAGGTTCTGGTCTAAGTGTATTAGCTGAACAAAATCTGATATTCTGATATTGTGTTTTTGTTTTCTGCATTTCCTAGGTCAGAAATAACAGACTGTATTTGTTTACTTAAGTGTATGTAAATTATGTGAATGTTTAAGTGATAAAATAGATTTTGTTACAGGAAACAAACAACTGAACTTCATTTTCTTTTAGGGTCAGTACTATCTATATTCTCATTTATCTTCCTCAAGGACTCAAATGAGCCCACTTTAAAATTTAAAATACTATGTAACATTTTAATGTATATCAGTATAGAATAAAGGCATTATAGATCCAGAAGAAATTTTAAATTTTAAGTTCTTGCCTTATTTAATATCTCTAAGAATTGAAGTATTTTTGGAGTTAGATGTTTCATTTAACATTTAAATGGTTTTATTCTTTCAAATTACAGCGTAACTTTAAAATCTGTTGGAACACAGTGCACAGTAGCTCACTGGTGGAAAGTAAAGTTCTCATTTATGTCACAGGGTCTAGCAGTGTGTTGAGATATTCTTTAAAAGTGGGAGTTACTTGCAGAATTTTAAAACGTTGTAACGAGAAGGGCTCTTATGAAGTCACGTAGTATAGCCTCTTTTTTTACATGAGGAAGTTAAGGCCAACAGAGGTTCCAAGGTTGAGTACTTGTCTCAGTTTACAGGGCAGAATAGCAGAGCTGGTACTAGAACCCTGCTTTCTGGACTTCAGCTCGTTAAGATAAATTAAGTTACTTTATGGGGCTGGCGTTGTGGCATAGTGGATTAAGCGCCTCCTGTGACGTCGGCATCCCATGTGAGCACTGGTTCGAGTCCGAGCTGCTCCACTTCCAGCCCAGCTCCCTGCTCATGCCCCTGCGAAAGCAGCAGAGGATGGCCTGTGTGCTTGAGCACCTGCCACTCATGTGGGAGACCAGAAGGCAGTTCCCAGCTCCCAGCTTCAGCTTGGCCCAGCCGTGGCTATTGCAGGCATTTGGGGAGTGGGCCAGTGTCTCTCCCATTCTCTCTGTCGCTTTGCCTTTCAAATAAGTAAATCAATCTAAATTAAAAAAAAGAAATACATGAAAACTAAAAACTACATTGATGACTTAAGTTAATATTCAGTTGGAATTGATCCTTCTAAATTGTATTTGTCAAAACCAGAGAAGTGCTGGAGTTGAGTTGAACAGCATTACAGTAGAAGTTAGAGAATAAGACTGTGACTTTAAAAGCAAATGAATTTCTCATGTGTTCTCTAGGTTCAAACATAAGAACATAATAATTTCCATACTAGATCTACAGTGTGTCTAATCCTAATATTACCATCAGAAATCTTGATAGGGGGATGCTTTGACATTGACCATAGAATATTAGTAGCATTTTCTGTAGTCATTTGTGTCTCCATAATTCATAAATTTTATTTATTTGTTACCTGTGCAGTAGCTTATATTGTTACTTCTAGTGTGAATTACTGGTGTTTTATCTCTACTTTATTCTGCTTTTAAGGATACTTTAGTTCTAGAATATATACATTATATATATATATATAAAAGACTTATTTATTTGAAAGGCAGAGTTACAGAGAGGCAGAGAGAGAGAGAGGTCTTCCATCCACTGGTTCACCCCTCAAATGGCTGCAGTGGCCAGAGCTGGGCTGACCCAAAACCAGGAGCCAGGAGCTTCTTCTGGGTCTCCCACGCAGGTGCAGGGGCCCAAGAACCTGAGCCATCTTCTGCTGCTTTCCCAGGCCATAGCAGAGAGCTGGATCAGAAGTGGAGCAGCCGGGAATCCAAATCAGCACCCATATGGGATGCCGGAGCTACAGGTGGTGGCTTAACTTGCTATGCCACAGCGCTGGCTCCTATATTATTGTTTTTTAAGAGTTTTTTAATTATTAATTTGAAAGGCAGAGTTTCAGAGAGAGAGAGATCTTCCACTGGTTCACTCCCCAAATGGCTGCAATGGTCAGGACTGAGCCAGGTCAAAGTCAGGAGTCAGGAGCTTTATCCAGGTCTCCCATATAGGTTGCAGGGACCCAAACTGGGGCCATCTTCCACTGCTTTCCTAGCTGCATTAGCAAGGAGCTGGATTGGAAGTGGAGCAGCCAGGACTCGCACTGAAGCCCATATGCGATGCTGGCACTGCAGGCAGCACCTTAACCTAGCACGCCACAATGCCAGATCCTAGCATATATTTATGTTTAATAAGGAATATGTGTTTTGGGGAAGAGTTCTAACTTTCAATTAAACTTTTCTGATGTTCTTTCTAAAGCTATTTTATTTTCATTTTCTATTAGCTGTTTATTTTGTTCATCATTTGTACACTAGAGCTTTTGAATATGCTTAATTTTTGTAAATGAATGTCAATCCTTGTTCTAATATAAACTTATTGTTCTGTATTGGGCTGGCCAAAAAATTTAAACTGAATATTTTCACAGTTTATTTCACATGTTCCACTATTATTTTACTTTTTGTACTAGGTCATGCATGCATTTAGCAGTTACATACCTAAGAGGGTGGGTAATATTTGAATGTTATAAATAGATTTCTGAGCCTTTTCTAAGTAAATTTGTTTTTGTATAATATTTTGATAATTGACATCAAAATGAGTTTTTTGTACATTCTTAAAGAATGGCAAGGAGAATTACAGTGTCTTACTGAAATTTGGCAACAATATTTTTCCTTGAACTTCAGTGCAGAAAATCAGGGGAATCCAGATATTAATATGTGTGTGTATGTGTCTATAAGTAAGTGAAGGGGAGATAAAGTACTGTGTTATTAAAATAGTCTGTTATCCAAAGATATGAGTATGCAAGATTGTATATACTTCTAAAATCTAAATGAGTGGCTGGATTCATACCTGGATTTTCTCACTTCTGTGACATACTGATACCACGCCTTGCCCTTCCAAGGCAATACCTGTTGCCTTGTTCTGTAAGTTATTGTTGTGTGCATGTGAACAGAAGCATGCTCTGTCAAAGAGAATTCACCTTTCCCAACAACTGGTAGACTTATCTTTGTGTATATTTTATGTACAAAGATCTATTTACTGTTACAAAGAATAATTATGTTTTTCTTTTATAACTGTAATATATGGGATTTTTTCTTATCTTTAACCTTATGATTGAACTGTCCATAGCATTTTTTAACTGACAGTATTTATTGAAACTAGCTCACTTTATTCTTAACTGTACATCCTGATATGTTATAGAATGGGTATTATATTTCGATAGTAACATTTAGGGCAGGGAAACTTTGTGAGATTTAAAGCAAGATACCTCCAAGTAAGTCCAGATAATAGCAAGCTTTATGTTGTAAAAGTTAGCAAGACATTTTCCTGTAAGTGAATTTTCTAAATTATGTTATTTTCAAGCTAGACTTTGGTGGTAAGGTTCAGACTGCAATTTAACACTTTGTGGAATTTCAAGATTAAAATACACAATAAGGTACAGATAAAAATCAGTTGCTCAGGATTGCATATGTGTGCTAATATACTAGATTCATGGCTGTAATTGTTGTACTGTATGTTAAAGCTGATTTGAAAACTTATTGAGCCTCCACAGTGTGCTTCTTATTGCTTTTACTCACAAACAAGTAAATTTAACTAGAAATATAGATCATAGCTAAGCTGCACTTGAGGAGAAAGGCATGTTTATTTGGAAATTGTGGGTATGATCTATAAAAGTACATTTTTATGTCATATGGAATGAAACACGTGCTTTAATTGAGCAACTTATAATGTTTTTCAGGAAGCGTGTTAAAAGTTCTTCACTCAGCTCTGTGCTTTCCCTTTCTCATTCTTCCCGCCTCCTGATCTCTTGGTTTAAAATCTTCCTCCTTATTTTGTAGACACTGCTCTCCTGTTCACTACTTCTTCTCTGTCTTTACGTCTCATCACTGGGCCTCTCTCAGTGTCTGTTTTCCCAACCTTCATCCCAAATTCCAGCTGTATATCTACAACCAGTTGGTCAGGTAACTTTGCACCTTTTTCAGTGCACTCTTTGATAGAGCATGCTCTGTTCTTTTTGTTTGTTTTGTTTGCCTTCTTTTCCTCTCTCTCTTTTTTTAACAGCCTGGAGGCCTGTTGTCAAATGTCACATAGATTTTACCCTTTTTTTTTTCACATTAATTTGACATGACTATTCAAGAAGTTGAATGACAGTTCCTCTTGTGCTTTTTATTAAGCGTTTGTTGGATGTGTGAATGCATTTTTGTTGGTTAGCTACCTAGTACCAGTATTATGAGCAGTCCACCTTTATTTAGCTGTGGCATCTATATTTGAAGGAAGCTTATTATCAAACTCTAAACTAACCAAGTAATTTCCGCTTGAATCAGTTATTTCTCTTAACTCTTTGAGCCTAAGATCAGGTTAAATTGAGAAATTTGAGGGATTTGATGCATCCTTTTACTCAAGTAAATAAATGACTCATGTTTATGTACATTATAAGGTGTTTAACTAGTAATCAGTGTTCTGTAAAGAAAGATCTGGGCATCTCTTAGGTGATGGGAACCAAACTCACTAGACCTGGAGCCAAGCCAGACAGAATTTGAAAATAAAAGTAAAAAAGGGACATGAACATGTTTTTTTGTTTGCTTGCTTGTTTGGGGGCTTTGGGGTTTGTTATTTTTTGGTTTTGGTCTTTGTTGTCTTGAGTTTTGTGTGTTTTCTGGTCTGAGACTTCAGAATAAATTTCTTTTGTTATGAAAAACAATCGCCTATGATAAATGAGTATATAAATTATTAACAGTTATGATTATCAAGATATTCTGAAGTTTTCTCTGAATTTAGTACTATTTTTTCTTGGCTAATTTACAAACCATTAGAAGTAAAGCGTAGATTGTCTCATTTTCTGAAGAAATTGACTCCTCAAAGCTTCTCTAATTTGAAACGTTTTCCAGAGAGAGGCAGTGTGAATGTTCTGCTTTGGCACAGCTTATTGATAAGGAAATGAGTGGTAGGGTTCTCAGCGAGATCTCTCCCAGTAGATGGGCGCTCTCACTGTTCTTCGTCATGTGACCACAGGTTTCTGACCAAGCGAGAGCAGAAACTAATGCAGCGGCGACAGCATGCAGAGGAGCTCCTGGAGTGGAAGCGGCGTTTAGATGCCGAAGAGGCAGAAATTCGTCAAATGGAAAAACAAGCTTTGGCAGCCTGGGACAAAGAATTAATAAAACCCAAAACTCCTAAGAAGGAGCTGGAGGGCCAGCGAACAGAACAGAAAGGTAATGAATACTAACGCTTCAGACTGCAAGCTGAAGCCTAACGTAATGGAAAGATCCGTGTCATTACTTTTTAAATGCAAATGATTAAGGATGGAGAATACAGTGCAACTGCAGATGCCGTGCAACTTCGGAAGGTGAGAGATGCTGTGAATCACTTTATGCCAGTTCAGTTCTCAGAACCTGGAGTAAATGAGTACATTCTTCTAAAAAATAAAACTTAACCAAACCTTAGTTGGCAAAAAAGGGAGCTGTCGTGGTCCTCTGCCTGCTAAAGCGGTTGTACCCCCAGTAGCTGATCATGTTTCTATAGAGACCTCTTCTGGCTTCATCACCATATTAGACTTTCAAGTGGGGTGGGAGTTGGAATCATTGCTTTTCCATACAGAGGAAAAACAGATATTTCTCAACTTGTTTTATGAAGTTACTCTATAACTCTGCTATTAAATCTTATCTATCATAAATAAAATATTAGCACACCAATCCAGCTATACTCATGTGCAAATCTAATATTTCATAGCCAAATGGGGTTTAACATATATTAAAAAATTGATAATACAGTGAGTTAGCTTAAATTTATTAAAGGAGACAAATTACACGTCAGTGGATTCAGAAAAGGCATTTGATGAAATTTAAAAAGGATATGTGATAACAAAAATAAACCTCAGATTAAAGTAGTCAAAGAAAGGAACTTTCTTTACTCAATAAATATTATATATTAATAAAAAAACCTAACCTAAAGCAAACCATGCTTAATGATGAAACATAAACAACTTTCTTTTTTAATTTGAAAATAAGGGAAAGATGCTTATGTCTTCATTTAAATATTGTGTGGAAGTTCTAGATAGTTTATTACAGCTAGTAAAAGAATTAAAACTATGCGGAATGAGAGGAAAAAGCAAAGTTCTCAAAATTTACAGTTGGCAAAGTTATTATGTACATAGAAAATTCAGAATTTACATATAATTATTAGAAATAACAAGAGTGAGTTTAGCAGGGTTGCTAGTTAGAAAGTCCATAAACAAAACTCAATTTATATGGCCGGCGCCACGGCTCACTAGGCTAATCCTCCGCCTGTGGCGCTGGCACCCCGGGTTCTAGTCCCGGTCAGGGCACCGGATTCTGTCCCGGTTGCTCCTCTTCCAGTCCAGCTCTCTGCTGTGGCCCGGGAGGGCAGTGGAGGATGGCCCAAGTCCTTGGGCCCTGCACTCTAATGGGAGACCAGGAGGAAGCACCTGGCTCCTGGATTTGGATCGGCACAGCGCCCCGGCCGTAGCAGCCATTTGGGGGTGAACCAACGGAAGGAAGACCTTTCTCTCTGTCTCTCTCTCTCTCACTGTCTAACTGCCTGTCCAAAAAAAAACAAACAAACAAACAAACAAACAAACAAAAAACCAAACTCAATTTATATATGTCTGTAGAGCAGCAAAAATTATTTTAAAAAACAAATTTTAAAAAAATATGAAGTGCCTAGCATTTCACAAAAAGTATCAAAGGTCTTTATGGAGGAAAATTTAGAATTTTATTGAAAAAATTGAAGAAAGCCAAAATCAATGGAACATTATTATGTACTCACAGATAGGTTCACTGTCATAGGATGTTAATTCTCCTTGAATTGATCCGTAGATTGAAGACACTTTAAATCGGGTACCCAGCAGGGTTTATTTGTGAGACTTGACAAGCTCATTTAAAAATGTGTATGAAATGGCAAAGGACCAAAGCAAAGACATTTTTAAGAATAACCACAAAATACATTAACTTACTTTATAGCTAGCAAGACTTCTAAAGATGTAGTAATTAAAACAACATGATATCTGTACAGAGATAGATAAATAGACTGTGGAACATCCCAGAAGATGATCTTTGCCTTTGTGGAAAGCCGACTTATATGTGACACAGGGAGCTTTGCAGACCAGTGGAGAAAGGAGGAACTATCCATTAAATGTTAGCAAGACGAAGTAGTAAATTCAGGTCTCTACCTGACAATATGAAATAATTGTTCACTGATCATTTTAGATAATTAACATTTCTGTTTCTTTGTCTTTTCAGATTTTTATTTTTAAAATTTTGTTTTATTTTTAATTGATGCATAAAAATGGTACATTTTTATGGAATGCCATGTAATAATTTTCTACATATATACATTGCATAATGTCTAATCAGGATAAACATACCTCCTTCCCCAAACATTTAACATTTCTTTATGGTAAAAATCCTTTTTTCTAGTTTTCTTTTAAAGAAAAACATGCAGTATACTGTCATTATCTATGGTCCCCTTACTGTATATATTTGAGGTTTTTTTGTTTTTTTTGTTTTTTTGGGTTTTTTTTGGTGGTGGTTTTCTTTTCTATTTTTTATTTTTTTTTTTAAATTTTTCTCCCCCAAAGAAATCTTTCATTTAAGGAATACAAACTTCATGCATTTCATAAGTACAACTTCAGGAATATAGTGATTCTTAACAACATATCTGCCCACATGGGTGCAGGGGCCCACTTTTCCTCTTCTTCCTCCCTCTCCCATCCCGAGTCCCGTTCTCCACTAAGATCTATTTTTGATTAACATTATACACAGAAGACCAACTCTGTATTAGGAATTCAACAATTTGCATGAACAAAACCAACAACAACAACAAAAACCGTTCTTCAAGGGCTGTTCAAAGTCATTGCATCTTGAAGTTAATTTCACTTTTTTTTTAAAGAACCCGGTGTGCCAGCGCCGCAAGGTGGAGGATTAGCCTATTGAGCCACGACACCGGCCAATTAACTTTATTTTTTAAAAGATTTTATTTATTTATTCGAAAGTCAGAGAGTTACACAGAGAGAAGAGAAGCAGAGAGGGAGAGGTCTTCCATCCGATGGTTCACTCTCCAATTGGCCATAACGGCTGGAGCTGTGCCGATCAGGAGCCAGGAGCTTCCTCCAGGTCTCCCACGTGGGTGTAAGGGCCCAAGGACTTGGGCCACCTTCTGCTGCTTTCCCAGGCTATGGCAGAGAGCTGGATCAGAAGAGGAGCATCTGGGACTAGAACCAGCGCCCACATGGGATGTTGGCACTTCAGGCCAGGGTGTTAACCCGCTGCGCCACAGCACCGGCCCCAGAAACACAATTAACTTTAAGAAGCACCCAAGCTCAGGCATAATTATAATACAATTCTTTGAGGACTGAGGTCCTGCATGGGAAGTTAGTGCACAGTGATTCTTGTTGTTAATTTAACAGTTAACACTTTTATATATGATGTCAGTGATCACCCGAGGCTCTTGACATGAGCTGCGTAGGCTATGGAAGCCTTTTGAGTCCACAAACTCCATCAGTATTTAGACAAGGCCATAAGCAAACTGGAAGTTCTCTCTTCCCTTCAGAGAAAAGTACCTACTTCTTTGAACACTTCTTTCTACTGGGGTCTTACCCACTGAGGTCTTTCATTTTTTGCCACAGTGCCTTGGCTTTCCATTCTTGAAATGCTCTTGTGGGCTTTTCAGCCAGAGCAGAATGCCTTTAGGGCTGATTCTGAGGTCAGAGTGTTATTTGTAGTGATTGTCAGTCTATGAGTCTGCTTTGTGGATTGCTTCCCATGTTGGAGCATTCATTCATTTTTAATTCTATCTATTATTATTACCAGACACTTATTTCTATCTATATGATCACTTTAACACTTAATCCTATCAATATGATCACAAAAACACTGATGATGGTATTTTTACTATCTAGCCTAAGGGGATTTGGGGTCCCATGGCAAATTTTTAAACTGTACCATTAGTAAAAAAAAAAGTATGGAGGTACCTCAAAGAAAAAAACTGGTAGTAGAACTACAATTTTGATCTACCCTTAAAAGTAAGTCCATAGGAATATATGCAGAACTATATACATCTTTACAGTTACAAACTAAATATACTTCATAATTACAACTTTAGGAACATGGTGATTCTTCCCACAGTACCTGCCCTCCCACCCTACTCCAAACTCTCTATCTCTTCCCTTTATTATTCCCATTCTTACTTTTTACTGAGATCTATGTGACTTTGTACACATATGTTTAACTCTGTGTTAAGTAAAGAATTCAACAGATAGTATATATTTAAAAAAAAAAAAACAACTGTTCCTCAACAGTCAAGACAAGGGCTGTTCAAGTTATTGCTTCTCAAAGTGCCAGTTTCACTTCTACAGATTTCCTTTTAGGTGCTCTGTTATTTATCGCAGGTCAAGGAGAACATATGGTATTTGTCTGTTTGGGACTGGCTTATTTCACTACATATAATGTTTTCCAGATTCATCCATTTTGTTGTAAATGACCAGATTTCATATTATTATTTTTTTTACCATTGTGTAGCATTCCTTAGTGTACATATCCCATAATTTCTTTATCCAGTCTTCAGTTGACAGGCATTTGGGTTGATTCCATGTCTTAGCTATTGTGACTTGAACGGCAATCAACACTGGGGTGCAGATAACGCTTTCATATGCTGATTACATTTCCTTTGGATAAGTTCCCAGGAGTGGGATGGCTGGTTCATATGGTAGGGTCATATCCAGATTTCTGAGGTATCTCCATATTGCCTTCCATAGTGGATTTACCACTTTACTTTCTCACCAGCAGTGGATTAGGGAACCTTTTACCCCACATCCTCACCAGCATTTGTTCTTTGTTGATTTCTGTATGAAGGCCATTCTAACTGGGGTGAGGTGAAACCTCATTGTGGTTTTAATCTGCATTTCTCTGAAGCTAGTGATCCTGAGCATTTTTTCATGTGTCTTTTGGCCATTTGGATTTCCTCTTTTGAAAAGTATTTGTTTAAGTCCTTTGCCCATTTCTTCACTGAGTTGTTTGTTTTATGTCTAAATGTCTAAATGCAACTAGTGATATTATGCTAGAAACAAATATAAAGTGTCAAATTTTAATTTTCCCATTGTCCAAATTGTGTATTTTTTGTTTTAATTCTCTCTTTCTAGATTTAGTGAGTGAAGAGGAATTCCCAGTACCTTCATACTCTCACCAAAACAGTGAAAGCTCTATTCCGGAAGAATTAGGCAGTCCTGCTGTTGACTACATCCCATCTGAGTCTATAGCACAGGAGCAGCCAGGGAGTCCCGACCATAGCATGCTTACGGAGGAAATGGTTTTTTCACAGGAACTAGAGTCTTCTACCTCTCCTAGTAAACATGTAAGTCAATATGTATTTTGATATATTGAAGCATCTTTAGAAAAAAATAAAGGTATATTAATGTGATTTTTTTTTTTTTGAGACTTATTTCTTTGAAAGGCAGAGTTACTGAGAGAGAGGGAGGGAGAGACAGAGACAGATAGATCTGCCATCCTCTGGTTCAGTTCCTAAATAGACACAATGGCTGGGACTGGGCCAGGCCAAAGCCACTAGCTAGGAGCTTCTTCCCTGTCTCCCACATGGGTGCAGATGCCCAAGCACATGGGCCATCTTCTGCTTTCCCAGGTGCATTAGCAGGGAGCTATATTGCAAGTGGAGCAGCTAGGATTGGAACCAGTGCCCATTTGGGATGCTGGCATTACAGGTGGTGGCTTTACCCAGTATGCCACAGTGCAGCCCTGATGTATTTTCTTGTGAGAAAAAAAAAAAAACAATTTCTAGCACTCAGGTTGTAGCTATCCTGGATGTCAATAATGACACCATGTAGAATCTAATCAATTTATAGGAAATAATAAACTAATAATATTGTGTCAAAATGCAGTTTGGTTGTAAATTCCTGGAAGGCAGGAATTATGTTACCAGTAAATTATCGCTACAATAAGCCTGTTATCCCATAATAAATAAGAAGTCACGGCATGATAATTAATCAGAAGCTAGAAACACAGAGCGCACTGTTTGCATGTATGTGCACCAGGACCCTGCAATACAGTGTTTTCAACATAATGTGGAAGAGGCTGCTGACTCAGCAAGAAAGAGTTTCCCTCCAAAACTTTCTGGTGTTTGATTTTTCCAGAGGGCACGTTCAGTTAATTCTTCACATTCCCATTGAAAATGAAGACTAACAAGGGACAGTCTACTCTGAACTGAGACGGATGTTTTCTAAAGGCAGAGAGGTTTTAATAATGTCTGGGTTCACTAAGTACTTAATGCTGTTGTGTGAGTTCCTTAATATACTTTATAAAATCAAGTTTAAAGCAACATGAAGTGCTTACTTAGCGAGTGCCACGTAGTATGCTAAAGTAGCCTACATAGATTATCCCATTAATCCTGGCAGCAGTCCTATAAAGTAGATACTGTTCTCATGCCCACTGTAAGGGTTAGCAGGTTAACAAACCTGCCCCAAATTAAAGGGGTAGGAAGTGATGGTAGCAAGGAATCAAATCAGGCATTCTCACTTCTGCTTGATGTTAGAGTGAAAAATTTTGTCTGTTCTAACAGTCTTTTGTGAGCAGTCTTATACTGTTACCCGCCCTTCCATAAAGGAATTACAGAAAAGTAAAATAAGGGAAGGGGTTGGAAATATCACTGACATAATAGCTACTACTCGGGGCCGGCGCTGTGGCACAGTGGGTTAAAGCGCTGGCATCCCATATGGGCGCTGGTTCTAGCCCTGGCTGCTCCTCTTCTGATCCAGCTCTCTTCTATGCCCCAAGTCCTTGGGCCCCTGCACCCATGTGGGAGACCCAAAGGAAGCTCCTGGCTCCTGGCTTTGGATCAGTGCAGCTCCGGCCATTGCAGTCATCTGGGGAGTGAACCAGCGATGGAAGACCTCTCTGTCTCTACCTCTCTCTGTAACTCTTTCACATAAATAAAATAAATCTTTTTTAAAAAATAGCTACTAATCCCTTTTTAAAGCATCCTCTTTTTACAACTTTATTTTCTGTTTAAAAAAAATGAAGTCCTGGGGCCGGCGCCGTGGCTCACTTGGTTAATCCTCCACCTGCGGCGCTGGCATCCCATATGGGTGCCAGGTTCTAGTCCCGGTTGCTCCTCTTCCAGTCCAGCTCTCTGCTGTGGCCTGGGAAGGTAGTGGAGGATGGCCCAAGTGCTTGGGTCCCTGCACCCGCCTGGGAGACCAGGAGAAGCACCGGGCTCCTGGCTTTGGATTGGCGCAGCGCCAGCTGTAGCGGCCATTTGGGGAGTGAACCAGTGGAAAGAAGACCTTCCTCTCTGTTTCTCTCTCACTGTCTATAACTCTACCTGTCAAATAAAAAAATAAAAAATAAATACATTAAAAAATGAAGTCTTATCCGTATGTGGTTATAAACTTCTTCCACCTTTTATATTATCTAATACTCTGTAAATATTTTTAAATTCACTAGTGTCTCACATTTTAAATAAAATTCTACACTGTATCACAAAACCGTTTTCATTTGGTTTTCTGTGTCAACAGTCACCTCCCAAAAGCTGCTCATCTGTGTCAAAGCAGGATTCTAGCAAAGGGAGCCCTAGGCCTGGAGGACAGCATCGCCTGCCAGTCAAGTCCCATCAGCACTGTTACAGCTGGTCAGATGAGTCGTTATCCATGACACAGTCAGGTAAGACTGATAAGGAGGACTTTCGGCCCTCTGGACTGTGGGCAGTATTTTAGCTCCTCTTTAATAAGCTTTGTGTATATGCCAGTATACTGTTAACCTTGGATGCATTCATAAAGCTTTCTTCTTGCCAAGAGTAAATCATATATTTTTCTGCTCGTTGTTGGTAATTATGACAAACTGCTATATTCTCATGTGTTAGTGGATGGTGACTTATTCATCAGACACTCACTGAGTGTTTTCTGTGTGAGACACCTGAGTATTTCCCTGGGACTCTGTGCTTCAGCTTGTCTTGTTAGGCAGCACAAATCACACAACACTTTGCTCAGCAGGTCCCGCCTACTAAACTATAAACGAAATAAATCTTTGAGAAGAAGTTTTACTGTTCATTCTCTTAATACAACTCTTTGAGGACAGAGGTTCTGCATGGGAAGTTAGTGCACAGTGACTCCTGGTGTTAATGTAGCAGTTAACACTCTTAGGTATGACGTCAGGGATCGCCCGAGTTTCTTGACAGGAGCCGCCTAGGCCACAGAAGCCTTTTGAGTCCACTGACTCCTTCAGTTACTGTATTGCTTTTTGAGTTCATTTTTTGTTTCCTTTTGAGACTAGTAAAGAAAGTAAAAAGTGGTAATTTTTTTAGGTCTTGGATCCTGTCCTGTCCCCCTTCACTTCCCATACTTCAGACAACAGTAAATCATTGGATTTTCTCAGTCCCGTGTTTATAGGTCTCCTTTATTCTCTGAGTAACTGCATAATATTTCAAAGGGTAGATGGACTGTAGCTTATTTAACTTTTCCTGGTGGTGGTCATTTAGATTTTCTCAAACTTTCCACACTTGCAGATAGTGCTGTGACAAGCATCTTCCTTTTTGTTGTGTGGTGTGGATAAATATTTTAAAATTCTTATTGACTATTTCAATAGGGAATCTATTTATAGAATTGTTATGTGAAGCCAATTGGAGAATACTGTCTTTCCTATTTACCTGTGGAAACTTGATGGTATTTCTGTGCCTGTGCTTCTGTGTGCTCAGGTGAAAGGTTACTGCCAGTGGAGTGCCGTGTCAGACAGGCACTGGACGTGCTAGGGAACACGGCTCTTGTGTCGACCCTGGTACTTCCTGGCAGCTCTGCTCAAGTTTCTTTCCCATGTTGGATTACCAGTTTCCATCTGTAGAAATGGGTTACACACCGAGGATTAATGCTGATATTTGTAAAATCCTGTTTTGTTGGTAAAATGTAGTCAAGAATAGTTTAGAAGAATTGCTCTAAGATTTCTAACCTGCCAACGGAGATTTCTGACCTATAAATGCAGCCTGCTTCTTTGTGATGACTTCATATGGCCAGCATTTGTGGAAGTGGTAAATTTTAATAGAGTGAGCTTCTATAAAACCATTACTTAAGTGATGGAGAGTTGACCAACCACATTAATATAATCAACATTGTGTCAAATCATCAGAAAGTTAATTTTTAAAATGAAGTTAATCTTTATTCTGTTCATCAGGCATTTTATCTTTACAGATTTCAGTAAGCGAAATTATCATTTGCCCATTACTTCCCATCTCCCTGACCTTCCAAAAACACCATAGGGGAGTCCCTAAAAGCAATACTGTTTTCATCCAGAGAGTTGCTTGAGTTAAGAAAAAAAATCTGGAGTCTTGTAGGTGTTACTGATGATAAGTGACAAGTGCTGTGCAGTAATAGTGGATTTAGGCAGATACAGAATGTATTCCCATTCACTGTCATAGACTTTTTCAAAAAGATTGATTTTGAAAAGCAGAGTAAGCAAAACAGAAGAAACAGAAAAATTTTCTATCTGCTGGTTACTCTCCAAAGGACCACAGATAGCCAAGAGCTGGGCCAGGCTGAAGGAGCCTGGAATTCCATCCGGATCTCCCACATAGGTGGCAAGGACTCAAGTTCTTGAACTATCATCTGCTGCTTCCCAGGTGTTTTTACAGGAAGCTAGGTCAGAAGTAGGTATAGCCAGGACTTGGACTGGCACTCTGATACAGATGCAGGTGTCTCAAGCAGTGGCTTAACGATGTGCCACAACACCTATGCTGTCATAGTTTTATTTAGTTACAGTTGCCCTTTATTTGTTTCTTTAGCACTAAAAAATATAAACTTTGGGGGCCAGTGGTGTGGCATAGAAGGTAAAGCTGCTGCCTGTGGTGCCAGCATCCCATATAGATGCTAGTTTGAGTCCCTGCTGCTCCACTTCTGATCCAGCTCCCTGCTAATGTGCCTGGGAAGATGCCCAAGTGCTTGGGTCCCTGCCACCCACATAGGAGACCCAGAAGAGGCTCCTGGCTCCTGGTTTCGGCCTGGCCCAGCCCTGGCCATTGCAGCCATTTAGGGAGTGAACCAGTGGATGGAAGATCTCTCTCTGTCTCTGCATCTCTCTCTCTCTCTCTCTCTCTCTCTCTCTGTGTGACTCCATCTTTCAAATAAATATATCAACATTTCCCAAAGTCTTTCATTGAAAAGCTCCCAAGTTTTTATCAACTGCTATTAAATTTTGTAATCATAGATGGTAAAGATTTTTATTTAGAAAATCATAGCTGGCATTTGCAATTTTTAAAATATTTCAGTTTAAAATAATCATCTGGGGGGCAAAGTTGAAAGAGTCTGTGGGAACATAGTGGTCCCCAATAAAATGCTATCAAACTGTCAAGTTGTGTGAGCACAGAAATCTTCGCCTGAAGACTGCACTTCTAGATAGAAAGTTCCAGATTGAAACTTCATCTTAGATAGACTGATTTTGAGCTCAGTCTGCCCTCCTATTCCCAGTTGTACTAGAATCATCAGTTGAACTGTATAAAGCCGTCTCTGTGGGCCTTTTAACCCTGAAGCCAATGGAACAGTTTCTTCAGAAGTTAAAAGAAAGTGTGAGGAGACACTCCCCTCACCACTGCCTTTTTAAAAACATGCTATTTAACACATGGCAACGTAAAAAAGTTTGTTTTGTGTGTTATTATTTCCACCATTACTTAAAAATTATTTTTTATTTTACATATAAAAATTGTGTACATTATGTACAAAATGATGTTTTGAAAAATAGAATGCTACATTGAGCCAATTAATGTGTATTATCTCAGTTGTCATTGTTTTAAACACTTAAAATCTCTCTCGGTGATTTTTCAAAACACATTTCATTACTATTAGCTGTAGTAACCATGTTGTTCAATAAATGTCTTAAACTTATTCCTCCCGTATAACTGACGTTTTTGACCGGCATCTTCCCACCCTGCTCTCTACTTCTGCTCGTTCAGCTGTTTTAGACTCCAGATGTGACTGAGGTCATACGGTGTTTCTCTGTCTGTGTCTGGTTTATTTCACTTAGTGTGTGTCCTCCAAGTTCATCCATGCTGTCAGAAATGATGGGATTTCCTCCTTTTTTGAGTCTGCATAGCGTTCCATTGTGTGTATCTGCGACATTTAGTTTATCCATTCATCCATTCATGGCCACTCAGGGTAGGTCCCCGTCTGCACTTTTTTGAGCTCTTGTAATACTTCAGGCACTGTACTACATGTCTTTCATCCCTTATCTAATCTCATCTCTATACCAGCTATAGAAGTTGGTCAGGACAAATCACCTAAGTAGTGATCTAGGATTGAAAGATAGCTTTTGGGACTGTTGTTGTGGTATAACCGGCCACCACGTGCAGTGCCAGCATCCTACATGGGCACTGGTTAAAGGCCCAGCTGCTCCACTTCCCATCCAGTTCCCTGCTGATGTGCCTGGGAAAGTAGCAGAGGATGGCCCAAGTCCCTGGGCCCTGCACCCATGTGGGAGATCTGAATGAAGCTCTTGGCTTCAGCCTAGCCCTGCCCCAGCTGTTGTGACCATTTGGGGAATGAAACAGTGGATGGAAAATCTATCTTTCCCTATCGCTCTGTAACTATGCCTTTCAAATAAATAAAATAAATCTTTTTTTTTAAAGATAGCCTTTGTATTACTTCATCTCATCAGAATATTGATCAATAAATAATAAGCTTTGCCCATGGTAAGGGCTCAGTATGATACTACTACTTGTGTGAAAGAATTATGACTTTCTTAAGCATACCTTAAGTCAGTGTCGCAGAAATGACAGGAGCTCAGATTTCTTTATCAGAATCTAGATATCTGGTTCTCACTATTAAAAAAGACTATAATCGTTATGCTTTCAAATTTCATAACTAGTTCTTACACAACTTAATCTGAAGTACCTATAAAAACCTAGTTCTGTGATTAATGTCGTGCACATCTGAGTGTTTAGATTGGTATACAGTTGTATTGCTGTGGTAAGGCTAGTAAGTGTCTCATTCAACATCAGTATGTGGAAGCGTTGTGTGGTTCCAGGAGGAGGTGTGAGGAACAGTCATGTTTGTGTAATTTCCATGTGTAGTGAGGTAAGCAGTGTCTTTAAATGATGCCTGTTTGTTTTCATAGCATGTGTGTGACACAGTGTAATGAAGCCTTTTTCATGATGTTGCTATGACTGGACATCTCGTGAGTGTGTATGAACTGTTGGGGGAGAAAATAAGATATAGCCAGCTTCATTTCAGTTGTTTCAAGTATTTTAAGAACTTTTAAAGAAAGCTTACAGCAGAATGTAATTTCTCTTCTTTAAGTAGAATTAAGACATCAGCTTAATAATTCACAATTAATTTGAAATGGTAAAATTCCAGTTTGTTTTTAATATGACTTAAAAACTGTTAAACTATATATTAATCACTTAGGGAAAGGACTATTATTTATGATTATCTTGTCACTATACTTCTTACCAAGACAGGGTGCTTTGAGATTTCTTTCAAATTTGGCAGTTAGAAAATGAAAATAAATAGGAAAGACCAAGAAAACTAATGAAGAGGAATTTATGAGAAAGGAAGAATGCATTTTGCTAATAAATTTTGTTCAGAAACTCTGATTTCTTCATTTTAAGTATTAGATTGACTTTAAATGGAGTATTAACTTATAATTTTTCATTGGTAGTTACTGAGTTACCTTTATTCTCCAGTTAAAACTAAATAAAATATTTTGTATCTTTTGTAGAAACTACATCTGACCAGAGTGACATCGAAGGCAGGATCAGGGCTCTGAAAGATGAGCTGCGGAAAAGAAAATCGGTTGTGGACCAGTTGAAGAAGGAGCAGAAGAAAAGACAAAAAGAAAGACTGAAAGCCCAAGAAGCCAGTCTGATCAAACAACTAGAGGTTAGACACAGGAAGGAGGGGGTTTCGTATCAGAGGTTAATGTATATGTGAAGCCCAAAACGTTTTTAATGTTGTAAATAAAGTAATGGATTAGGATTTTTCAGTTCTTAGTGCAGTGCATGTTTTATTGTAATTCTTCAAAAACAAAAATCTGAGGGTATGTACGCAAAGTCTTGCCTAGAACATTAAATTAAATATTAAACTTAGATATTACATATTAAAATAAGTGTTCAGATAAATGTTAGAGTACTGTAAGGTCTTTTTTCCTAAATAAGAAAGATTAGACCTATGAAAGAAAGATTAATGTCCTTGCCCCCTTACAAAAAGAGTCACTGGATAAATGAATAACTGTAGATATTAGAATTATTACTCTCTTCTTTAGGAAAAATACTTTCATGTCACAACTTACCAGTACGAGTGTTTATACTGTTCAGATGGCTCCTCGATTATTGCTCTACATTGGGTTTGTCTCCCGAGCTTTAGCAACCAGATTGTGTCCCACGCTGGCAGCCTGAGTCCAGCCTTCCTCATGTTCTCTCCTATCCAGTTAGTCGCCAGTTCTCACTGATTCCTTTCTGTGTAGCTTCTGTATTCCATTCCTCTGCCGTCAAGCTGGTCGAGGCGTTCATGGCTTTAAATGTCCTGGCCTGTGCTGACTTTCTGTTACACATCTGCCAGCCTGGTGTTCCTGAAGCACCACACTTGATACAGAATTGACTGGAAAGGCCTGCTCATCGCAGGAATCCCTTCTCATGTCGTCACCAGCTCTTTCTAAGTACTTCGAGTAATATGAAATTTTAAATTTTCAAGGCAGTTGGTTTCGTTAGTAGACTGTAAATGCTCTGAGTAGTAGAAAACTCTTGTTATGTCTAGCCAAAATATATAAATAGTAAGAGTTGTAAAAGGAGAGATTTTAGCCCAGAAAAGAGAGCTATAATAGATGGAGAGCTCTTCTTAGATTTCACACAAATTATAATTATGGAAGTTTTATTTACAGAATGGTTAATAACCTGAAAAAATGTTTTTGTAATCCTGAGCTGTCGTACTCCCTACCACCCCCCCCTTCAGAAGCACAGCCCCAGCGCTCCCCCTTGAGACGCTTGCCGCCACTGAACTCGGAGCAGTGACAGCCCCCGGAAAGCCCGAGGGAGGCGACGGGGTGCCCTTTAGAGAAGGATAAGAATTTCAGGAGGTCTTCTGTGCATTCCTGCGCATGAAACTTTCACAGATCGGGACTACCATTTCTTAACTGATAGCAGGACTGCAGTTCCGTATCTTTAGCCAGTTTGGAGAAGACACACAAGAGACTAGGTGGAGCTCTCAGAAATGATGTAGGGCGGTGAGGAGCGTTCGCGTTGCAGCTTCTTTCTCGTCTGCGTGCTTTACCATCAGCTATGCTATCTTATAGTAGAAAACAGTTTTTAGAAATTCTGCCTTAATGACTCCTCTGATTTCTCTAAACTTAGTCATATGATGAATTCATTAAGAAAACTGAGGCGGAGCTTAGCCGAGATTTGGAGACATCACCGACAGCCAAGCCTCAGATTAAAGCGTTTTCTTCAGCTTCTGAGAAGCCCAAGATCAAGCCCCTCCCACTACACAGGTAGTAATTTCTGGTCATTTATCCACGTTCTGCCTTGTTTGAGGAAAGGAGAAGGAAAGATTTTTAGAGATTATCTTTAAGTAAACATGAAACTGTAGAAGCAAAAAATACTATTTTTCTTTTCACTAAAATAAAAATGCTATAAATAATAAATACATTTAGGTCTGAAGCTGTTACCCCTGCAGTCTGGGGTGCAGTGGAAATGATGCTCTCCAGCATTGCAGGTGGCAGCTCGTGAGCTGCTACACCCAGTGTTCAGGCGTAGTCTGCAGCGTCTGACCCAGTAATCCCCCTCCTGGAAATTTAGCTTGAGAAAATAAGGGGTACCCAAAATCTATTTTATGAATATTTTAATCATAACTATTTTTATTAACAAAATACTGGAAACAAAAATAGGTAAATAGCTCAGTGAATTCCGGTTCTATTTAAGTAATAGAATGTTTTGTAGCTATTAACAGATGTAGATGACACTAAGTAGTAACACTAGCATATGCAATGTAGTCCATTGAAAATCCGGGTTGTAATATTTATGTGTTAAGCTCTGGGTAAGGATGAGGCTGGTCAGTACCACTGCACACTGAAGGACACCACAAAAGCACAGTGAGACTGGTAGATCATCGAGGCTGAACAAAACAGGACGCTGCTGGGGTTAGCAGAGGCGGCGGGGACAGCAAAAGCCCAGTTGCGAAAACCTTGCACTCACTTATTCTTAGTATTTTGTATTTTAGCTTTTAGAAAATGTAGTGTTTTAGCTGGCGCCGCGGCTCATTAGGCTAATCCTCCGCCTTGCCTTGCCAGCACACCGGGTTCTAGTCCTGGTCAGGGCGCCGGGTTCTGTCCCGGTTGCCCCTCTTCCAGGCCAGCTCTCTGCTGTGGCCTGGGAAGGCAGTGGAGGATGGCCCAAGTGCTTGGGCCCTGCACCCCATGGGAGACCAGGAGAAGCACCTGGCTCCTGCCTTCAGATCAGCGCGGTGCGCCGGCCACAGCGTGCCAGCCGTGGCAGCCATTGGAGGGTGAACCAACAGTAAAAGGAAGACCTTTCTCTCTGTCTCTCTCTCTCACTGTCCACTCTGCCTGTCCAAAAAAAAAAAAAAAGTAGTGCTTTTGAAGGTTTTTAAAACTGTATTTGGGGATTTTTTGGTTTGTTACAAAAGTCATACAGGCTCATTGCAATAATTTAGTATTACCTGAGTTTGAACTCTAGCTCCAGTACCAGCTGGCAACCTATTTAACCTCCCTGTGCTTCCGGGGTTTTGTTTGTTTGTTTGTTTGTTTGTTTGTTCAAAGAATATTTTATTTATTTGAAAAACAGTTACAGAGAGAGGTAGAGCCAAAGAGTCTTCCATTCCGCTGGTTCACTCCCCAAATGCCCGCAACGGCCAGAGCTGAGCTGATCCAAAGTGAGGAGCCAGGAACTTCTGGGTCTCCCACGTGGGTGCAGGGGCCCAAGGACTTGGGCCATCTCCCACTGCTTCCCCAGGCCATAGCAGAGAGCTGGATTGGAAGTGGAGCAGCAGGGACTCGAACTGGCACCCACATGGGATGCCAGCACTGCAGGCCAGGGCTTTAACTTGCTGTGCCACAGCGCCGGCCCCTGTGCTTCAGTTTTTTAATAGAGATTTTTATACCTGTTAAACAGGGATGATGATTATGATAATAATAATAAAACCTGATTAATATACTTGTTATGAGGGTTAAAAAAAACTTGAACAGGACCTAGCGCACAGTAAGCATTCCTGTTATCATTAGTGACTGGAGTAGCAGGAAAAAAACAAAAAAAATCATGTCTATGCCAAAGTAGCAAATATCCACTATTAGAAATGTTTCCTTCTGAAATTTTTATGCTTCGATTTTTTTAAAGATTTGTTTATTTATTTGAAAGGCAGAGAGAGAGGATTTTCATCCTCTGGTTCACTCCATGGCCAGATCTCTGTTGATCTGAAGCCAGGAGCCAGGAGCTTCTTTCAGGTCTCTCCTGTGGGTGCAGGGGCCCAGGGACTTGGGCCATCTCCCACTGCTTTCCCAGACCATAGCAGAGAGCTGGAACAGAAGTGGAGCAGCCAGGACTTGAACCTGCGCCCATAAGGGATGTCGGCACCAGAGACAACAGCTTTACCTGCTATGCCACAGTAGTGTCCCCTATGCTTAGATTTTATTTGTATTTTTATACAAATAATATATATACACACACATTTTTCCATTACATTATAAGCTTTAAAACTTTTAAATTATATTTTTAAGATTTATTTATTTATTTGAAAGGCATAGTTAGAGAGAGACAGAGAGAGTGAATCTACCATCTGCTGGTTCACTCCCCAAATGACCGCAATGGCTAGAGCTGCGCCAGTCCGAAGCCAGGAGCCAGGAGCTTCTTCTGGGTCTCCCACATGGGTGCAGGGGCCCAAGCACTTAGGTCATCTTCTACTGCTTTCTCAGGCCATAGCAGAGAGCTGGATGGGAAGTGAAGCAGCCAGGACTCAAACCTGCACCCATATGGAATTCCGGCCCTACAGGCAGTGGCTTTACCCACTACACCACAGCGCCAGCCTCTGAATTTATTTATGTGAGACGTAGAGCAACAGACAGAAAGAGGGAGAAACAGAGAGCTCCTCCATCCACTGGTTCACTTCCCAAATGGCCGCAACGGTTGGAGCTGGGCCAATCCAAAACCAGGAGCCAAGAGCTTCTTCCGAGTCTCCCGCGTTAGTGCAGGGCCATCTTCCACTGCTCTCCCAGGCCATCAGCCTGGGAAGAGGGGCAGCCAGAATATGATCTGGTACACGTGTGGGATGCTGGCACTGCAGGCAGAGACAGCCCACTATGCCACAGCGCAGGCCCAGCTCTAAAAATTTTAAATGTGGTATACTGATGAATGGCTTTATAGTTCTCTTAATCCAGCTACTAGAAAAAAATTAATTGTATTTATTTTAAAGGCAGACAGAGATAGAAACTGAGTGGGAGCTCATCTGCTGGGTTACTCTCCCCATGGCCTCAGCAGCCAGAGTTGTGCCAAGCCAAAGCCAGTAACCAGGGGCTGAATTCAGGTTAACCACGTGGTTGGCAGGGACTCAACAACTTGAATCATCACTGCTGTCTCTCAGGGTACACAGTATAGGACGCTGGAAGCAGGAGCGGAGCCAGAGCTCAAACCCAGGCACTCTGATATGGGGTTCGGATGTCCCAAATGGTACCTTGACTGCTGTGTTTAACACCAGCCACAAGTACTCAGATATTTTAGTCTGAGAGTGACAGTCAGATGTGTGTTTACAGAGATCTTTCTGATCCCAATATAAAGAAAAGATAAAAAGAAGTAAGCTGAGAAGAAGAAAGCATGCTAAGCCAGATGTCAAATAAGCAGTAGTAATACAAATAAGAAATAGATGTATTTTAGGAACATGTATTTCAGAAGTAGACTTGAGTTAAAGGCCTGATGGAGAGGCAGTCGTTTGACACAGCAGTTACATGTCACTTAGGATGCCCACATCCCATATCGAGTGCTTGGGTTTGAGTTCCGGCTCCACTCGGCATCCCAGCACCCTGCTCATGCACACCCTGGCAGGGAGCAGGTAATGACTCAAGTCCTTGGGTCCCTGCTACCCATGTGGTCAACCCAGATTGAGTTGCTGGCCCCTGGCTTTGGCCTAGCCCAGCCCCAACTGTTGCAAGCATTTAGTTTAGGGAGTGAACTAGTGGGTGGAAGATACCTTTCTCTCTCTTTGTGTGTGTGTGTGTGTGTGTGTGTGTGTGTGTCCCTGTTCATGTCTATGTCTTTCTGCCTTTTAGAGAAATAATTTTAAAAAAAAATTCCAGATGGGGAAGCAAAGAAAATCCACAGTGACTCCCATGTTTTCTCCTAGGTAGCTGATCGGTTCAGCATTCCATTAACCTAAATGGTGGCGTTTTTCTCAGAAGCTTATGATTTTGGTTTTAAATGTTAATTTTGAGATATCATAGTTCATCTAAGTAGAATTATCCAAGAGGCTTGTCAGGATTAGAAATACGAGGATAGTCCATGCATCTGTAGTGGCTGAAGCCGTGAATATACCAACATCATGCAGAGAAGATACCCCTTCAGAGAAAATAAAAGGGAGCCAAGTACATTATGGTAAAATAGTAACATGGTGAATGTGAGCCTCTCCTCTTCACTGTAAGGAACGGAGGACAGCAGCAGGAGGAGTGAGGACTTGGGAGGAAGGGAGTTTGTTTTGGAGGCATGCGTAGAAGCCGAAAGGAATCTCTGGATGGAAAGCTGGAGAAAAGAAAGACAGCAGGTGCTTGGGCAGTGCTGTCTGTAAGGCTATGTGTAACTAGCTCTGAGGAAGTGAGATGGTACACCTTTTCCTCCTTGCAGCCAGGAGGACTGTGGGTACAGATAATTTTATAGGTGGAAAGGTTGCGGGAGAGAGAGGTCATGTGTGCCTGATGCCTCTTTGTCTGACTGAGAGAGGCGAGATCATCTGCAGAGAGGAAGAGAGCCAGGATTGGGCTTAATGAACAGAGCAACGACTGAACTAGTCACTTGTGGAGAAGAGGAAAGAAGTTGTCTAAGAATGTCCCCTTTCTGTTGCCGTTTATTGTAGTATCAGCAAGATGCTTATTTCTGCTCACCACACTTTTCTGCTTCAGGTCTGAAACAGCGAAGAGCTGGAAGTCACTTACAGAGGCAGAGCGCTCCAGAGGGTCCCTGGAGTCTATTGCTCAGCACGTCGGTATGTATCCAGAAAAAATAACTGGTATCTGCAGTCTAAGGATTTGTGCAAAGCCCTACAAATCTCAATCTCTTATAGCCTTAATTTTTTTTAATTTATGTAAGTGACAGAAACAGAGCCTCAGTTTGCTGGTTCACTCCCCTGATGCCCACAATGGCCAGGACTGGGCCAAGTCAAAGCTGGGCACTGGGCACTCCCCTGCAGCTTTTGAATAAAAAGTGATTTTCTTAAATAAATCAGTATGTTAGATTAGTTTCATATTTTCAAGTCATATACTAGTTACAAATAAGTTACATGAATCAGTCTTGACAGGCAGACAGTGAGAGAGAGACAGAGAGAAAGGTCTTCCTTTGCCGTTGGTTCACCTCCCAATGGCCGCTGTGGCTGGCGCACTGCGCTGATCCAAAGGCAGGAGCCAGGTGCTTCTCCTGGTCTCCCATGGGGTGCAGGGCCCAAGCACTTGGGCCATCCTCCACTGCACTCCCTGGCCACAGCAGAGAGCTGGCCTGGTAGAGGGGCAACCGGGACAGAATCCGGCGCCCCGACCGGGACTAGAACCTGGTAAGAACATCATCAGCATCTCTGAATTCCCCCTTAATCAGATTTTGTATCTGATTCTGTATATTTTCAACTTATGTCCCAGAATAAATAAATGGTTATATATATTTCTAAAGTTTAAAAAATAAGAATTATTGAAAATCAAACATAATTCAGTAAGGAAGTTACAGGCACTTTAAAAAGTGCCTGGGAGTACCTGCTGTGGTGTAGCAGGTTAAGCTGCCATCTGCAGCCCCAGCATCCCATATGGGCACTGGTTTGAGTCCCAGTTACTCCACTTCTGATCCAGCTCCCTGCTAATATGCCTGGGAAAGCAAAAGAAGGTAGCCCAAGTCCTTGGACCCTTGCACCCATGTGGATACCTGGAAGAAGCTCTTGGCTCCTGCCTTCGGATTGGCCCAGCTCTGACCATTGGTGGTCATTTGGGGAATGAACCAGAGGGTGGAAGATCTCTCTTTCCTTCTCTCTCTCTGTATGTAACTCTGCCTTTCAAATAAATAAATAAATCTTAGAAAAAAAAAAAAACCCTGCCTAGCACTAATAATAAAATAGAGATTTGAATTCAAATTTTTTTAAAGACTTATTTATTTATTTTGAAAGAGTTAGGAGAGGCCGGCGCCGCGGCTCACTAGGCTAATCCTCCGCCTAGCGGCGCCGGCACACCGGGTTCTAGTCCCGGTCGGGGCGCCGGATTCTGTCCCGGTTGCCCCTCTTCCAGGCCAGCTCTCTGCTGTGGCCAGGGAGTGCAGTGGAGGATGGCCCAGGTGCTTGGGCCCTGCACCCCATGGGAGACCAGGAAAAAGCACCTGGCTCCTGGCTCCTGCCATCGGATCAGCGTGGTGCGCCGGCCACAGCGCGCCGGCCGCAGCGGCCATTGGAGGGTGAACCAACGGCAAAAGGAAGACCTTTCTCTCTGTCTCTCTCTCTCACTGTCCACTCTGCCTGTCAAAAAAAAAAAAAAAAAAGAGAGTTAGGAGAGACAGAGAGCAGAAAGAGAGAGAGAATCTTCCATCTACTGGTTCACTTCCCTGGTGGCCGCAATAGCCAGCACTGGGCCAGGCTGAAGCCAGGAGCCAGGAGCTTCTTCTGGATCTTCTACTTGGGTGGCAGGGGCCCAGGTACTTGGGCCATCCTTTGCTTCTTTCTGAGGCCATGAGCAGGGAGCTGGATCAGAAGTAGAGCAACCAGGATTCAGACTGACATCCTGTGGAATATAGGTTTCACAGGCAGCGGCTTTACCACAAAGCTGGCCATTCCAAACTTCCAGTTCTTGGCCTGGGGGCAGGCTTTTGACCTAGTAGTTAAAAGTCACTTGAGTGGCTGGATCGTTGAATGAAGTGTGTAGGCTCAGGTCCCAGCTTTGTTCCTTGTCCAGTTTTCCGCTAATAATCAGGTTTGGTTCAAGTACTTGGTTCCCTGTCACTCACCTGGGAGACCTGGATTGAATTCCTGGCTCCTGGCTTTGCCTTGCCCAACCCTAGCTGTTTGCAGGTATTTGGGGAGGGAACCAACAGATGGGAGCTCTATGTCTGCCTCTCAAATAAATCTTGATTTGTTAATTAATTTTATTATTATGCTTATTTTGGAGATTTAGCTATGAAAATGGTCTATCTGCAGAAATGATCTTTTTTCTTTTCTTTTTTTACATTTGAGAGCTTAAAGTCTCCCCCCAAAACTCATTCATTTAGTGATATAAATAGAAGTGTAGTTGTCCCTCCATTCTTTGTTTTCTGTTTGAAGGATGAGTGAACATGTAGTATCTATCATACAATTCTGTTTTTGCTTGAGGATTATCATACAAAGCAGTGGTCCCAGAAGCTCAAATCTATTTTTCTTCACTTTATAAGACAATACTTAAGAAATTATGGGGTCAGCATTGTGGTGTAGCAGTAGAAGTTCAAGTTCTGGCTACTCTGCTTCCAATCCAACTTCCTACTAATGTGATTGGGATGACAACAGAAGATGGCCCAAGTGCTTGAGCCCCTGTAAACCATGTGGAAGACAGATGGAGCTACTGGCTTTGGCCTGGTTCAGCCCTGGCTGTTGCAGCCATTTGGGGAGTGAACCAGCAGATGAAAGATCCGTCTCTCTGTGTCTCTCTTTCAGTCTCCTTTCAAATAAATAAATCTTTTTTAAAAAGTAGTATATTTTAATCAAAACAGTTCATATTTATTGACCAGAGTGTTCTTTCACTTACATTTGGCTGTTGTTTAAATTTAGATCCTAGAAATTGAAAGATTATGATTAATTAATTTTGATCTAGTGATTTTTTTTTCTTCAAGGTACTTCATTGTCAAGTTCTGAGAGATCAGTATCAGAAAGGTCACTGCCTGCCTATGCGAAGAGGGTGATTGAATTGGACAGTCGAACAGAAGAACGTTTGCAGACCCCATCTCCTGTTCTCAGGTTGTCGAGAACAGCCGGAGCGGAATCTGGAGATTCTTTAGAAAATGTACCTTCATTACCTCTTCTTAGAGAATTAAGTATCCCTGGTGGAGTTCTTGATGGGTCAAACGCCAAGACTGAAGAACTTAGTCAAAAACCAGAAACACGAAAACTAGAACATGCGAAATTGGAGGAGACTGGGATTGAAGGTGACTGCTCTAAACCTTCAGAGAAGTCAGATGTCTTACTGCAGCTGGACCTGGAACAGGGAGACGCATCTGGAAGTCTCTCAAATAAAGATCTTCCTTTGGATTCTGTAGATGTTGAGAAAGATTTAGTTAGATTAGTCATTGAAAATCTTCATACAAAAGAGGAAGTACTGAAAGAGAGACGGTCAGATCAAGATGTGGATCGTGGTCCAGCCATCCAGTCAGAAGACGTCCATGGACAAAAGAACAGAGAGGAAAGGGGTCTGCCTTCATCGCAGCATCTTTTTACTCCTAAAGAGGCATCATACTCCGAAGAAATTGAAGCATCTTCTCTCAAAAGAGAAATCTCAGCTGAATTGTACAAAGACGACTTTGAGGGGTCATCTCCGTCACTCAGCAAAGACTCCCAGGTTTGCAGAGAAAGGTCTCAGTCACCGGGGAGCTCCAGGCACAGAGCCGCCAGCTTTGGGAGTGAGGATGAAGTCAGCGAGTGCCTCAGTGAGCAGAGCCTCTCCGTGCATAGCAGCGCCCACTCTGAGAGGCTGCTGGAGCTCAGGTCCCCTCCTGAGCTCGTGGGAAGTCCGGAGCGCGGCGATGCGGAGCGAGAGCGGGGAGCCGCTCCGTCGCCCGCCCCGGCCTCCGCTGCTGCCGCGGGGGAGTTACTGGATTTCCACATCGGTGACAGGGTGCTGATCGGCAATGTTCAGCCGGGGACTCTGCGATTCAAGGGTGAGACTCGCTTTGCTAAAGGATTTTGGGCTGGAGTGGAACTGGATAAACCTGAAGGAAATAACAATGGAACCTATGATGGCATTGTGTATTTTGTATGCAAAGAGAAGCATGGCATTTTTGCTCCTCCTCAAAAAATATCTCACATTCTAGAAAACTTTGATGACGACACAGACATAAATGAAGATGACTGTTATTCAGATGAACAGTATCAATACTATAATCAGGAGCAGAAAGCCGCAGAGGGTCCACGAGACAGAGAAAAAGATGCCGCTGAATATTTTTATGAGGAATCTCTCCCTAGTACGCATGGTGTAGAAGCCTCAGTGGACAGAGATAAAAGCCTTAAGATAGAACTAGATCCTATACAGGAGGTTTCTGGGGTACTTGAAGGCCGTGTTCTCCAGCAGTCGTTAGTGGATTCACTGGTTTCTTCCAAGGAAAACAAGGACCTTGTTTGTGGTGTCGCAGAAAAGGTTTCCACTGGTGTAGAAGAGGAAGCTTCAGACAGCACCTGCTCCGGAGAACTAAAGAAGCAGCAGCAGTTTACAGAGAAGGAAGAGAACCTATGTTCTGAACCTCCAGAAAAGCTTTCTACCCCGCTTTTGGACCTTTTAACAAGAGAAAAAAACCAACTGGAAGCCCAGCTGCGGTCATCACTAAATGAGGAGAGACAGTCCAAACAGCAGCTGGAAACGGTCGGCTCACTGACGGACAGTTTACTGAACGGGTTTGTGAAGGACACCGTCAATCAACTACAGCAAATCAAGAAGGCCAGGAATGAGAAGATCCAGCTGAGCAACCAGGAGCTGCTTGAGGATGACCAGCAGGAAGTGCCACCCCCAGGCCTGTCCCAGAGTCCGGAGCAGCAGTCCCCACGTGTCCCAGGTGGTCTCTTAAGGTCTGAACTGGAAGACGAAAAAGAAGAGATTTCCTCTCCAGATATGTGCCCCCGACCGGTAAGTGTTTCATCTACACAAAGTGTCAGTTTTCCTTACTGTGTGGTGCTGTCTGATTCTCTAGCTCCTGGTAGATATTTTCCCTGACTGGCTGATTAGTAGGGACAGGTCACTGTACCAGGTTTCAAGGGCCTTGTCGCAGTTTTCCTGTCTGCAGTGTGATTGTCTTCTGTTACATCATGCGTAGTCACTGTAGGGTTGTCACAAACACCGGCAGGTTCCTGGGAACTAGAACATCCATGTAAGCTGCTAGGTTGACACTCCCTGTGTGCCCTCCAACAGGAGAGGTCACCTTCCAGGTTCACTGGGCACACTTGCTCTGTGGCGCTTTCCCGTGGCTCTCTACTCCGTTCCTTCTTGCCTCTGAAGTCAGCAGCTCACACATCTGCTCAGTCATGGTTGCCCTGCAGCAGTTGCCATGTGTGATGTGGATCTGATAAGACTGAAGTAGATCTACTATGACATATATTCAGACCACCAACTTGTGTAGATGACCCCAAGGGCAGTCAAGCAAAAGTAATGATTTTGAGTAACTTGGGCCACATAATCGCCAAAGGTGAGAAATTCCATATCCCATTTCCATATGCTAGGGACAGAATAATGATGACACAAAAAGGGAAAAAGCAAATAATAAACAGTTTATAAAGTTTAAGAACAAGTTTTACATAAGTGAATTGTGGGAACAGAATAATTTTTTCTTAAATTGTTTTTTAGTCGCCAGCCTGTGGTTTTAACTTTATGTGTTTACAGGGAAATGTTAAGTGTAGTCTGTCACCTTGTCCGGTGATCTGAGGACACTAACTGGTCTGTGTTTGCACGGTTCTATAGGAGAGCCCAGTGTTTGGTGCCAGCGGGCAGGAGGAGCTTGCCAAGAGACTCGCTGAGCTGGAGATCAGCCGTGAGTTCCTGAGTGCTCTAGGAGATGACCAAGACTGGTTTGATGAAGACTTTGGTTTGAGTTCTTCCCACAAGATTCAAAAAAATAAGGCAGAAGAAACGATTGTGCCTCTCATGGCAGAACCTAAAAGAGTACCCCAAAAGCCATGTGAAACAGTATTGGCCGTCCCACATACTGCAGAGGAAGTAGAAACTCTTGTACATGATGCAGCAGAAGAGCTCTGGAAGTGGAAAGAACTAGGCCGTGACCTCCACAGCGTCAGTATTCCTACAAAACTGCTTGGCTGTGCCAGTAAGGGGCCAGATGTGGAAAGCACTAGTAAAAGGGTCTACAAACAGGTGTGTCACACGGAAAGTTTGCTTTCATCTTCTGTCCCATCGTCTACACTTTGAATTCTTAGCCATTGTATTTTATTTTTCTCTCTCTATCAAGGTGGTTTTTGATTTAACAAAAGAGATTTTTGAGGAAATATTTGCTGAGGATCCCAACTTGAATCAGCCTGTCTGGATGAAGCCATGCAGGATCAACTCAAGCTATTTCCGACGAGTGAAAAATCCCAACAACCTTGATGAAATTAAGGTAAACTGCGAACTATACAGTATCTCCTTTTTGATTTGCTGTTTATTTACACAGGTCTATAAATGTCCCAAAAGCATATATGCTGTATTACTCATCATTATGCCCTCAGGGCCTGTTCCATAGTGTGTATTCAGTAAATATTTGTTCTGCTTTCTCCAAATCCTCACCAGCACTTACTACTTTCTGTCTTTTTGGTAATAGCCATTCTAACTGGGATGAAGTGCTACCCCATTGTAGGTTTTTTTTTTTTTTTCTTTTAGACTTATTTTATTTGCGAGGCAAAGTTAGAAAGAGAGAGAGGGAGAGACAGAGCTAGAGGTCTTTCATCCACTAGTTCACTCCCCAGATGGCCACAATGTCTGGAGCTGGGCCAATCCGAAGCCAGGAGCCAGGAGCCAGGAGCTTTTTCCGAGTCTCCCAAGTGGGTGCAGGGGCCCAAGCACTTGGGCCATCTTTCACTGCTTTCCCAGGCCATCAGCAGGGAGCTGGACCCGAAGCAGAGCAGCCAGGACTCGAATTGGTGCCCATGGAGACTTAGCCTGCTATGCCACGGCAGCAGCCCCTCATTCTAGTTTTGTGCCTCCCTGTTGACTGGTGGTAGTGAGCATTTTTCATGTATTTGTTGGTCACTTGTATTTCTTCCTTTAAGAAACGTCTGTTGAGATCCTTTGTCTTTTTCTTACCTGGATTGCTTGTTTTTGTTATTGAATGTTTTGAGTCCCTTATATATTCTGAGTATTCATTCTTTGTCCAGCGAATAGCTTACAGCTATTATCTCCCAACATACTGGTCGTCTCACCACTCTGCTGATTGTTTTGCCGTTCAGAAACTTCTTACTTGACATAATCCCAATTGTTTAGTTTTGCGTTTGTTGTTTGTGCTTTTAAAGTGCTATCCAAAAAAATCTTTGTCTGCAACAATGTCTTAAAGTGTTCCCCTGTGTCTTCTAGCACTTTCAGTTTTGAGTTTTACATTTTGGTCTTTGTGCTATCTCATATCTCATGTATGATAATACTCACATATGGTTAGAGCAGAGATTTGACTTCGTGTGCGGATGCATGTGTGTGATGTAGTATCTCCAGTTTTACCAGTACTAGTGACTGAAAAGACTGCCCTTCCTCCAGTGTATGTTCTTGGCCCCTTTTGTCAAAAATTCACTTGGCTTTCTGCAATTCACTGAATCCACGAGCAATGGAAGAATGATCATGAAGGGAAACCATGAATCTTGAATTTGTGTTAAAAAAAAAAAAGAACATGACTTTTAACAGTTATTTCCTACTTACATACAATTCATAATTTAATAAACAATTGGTACATATCCAGCAAGATAAATTACTGCAACTCATAGAAGTTGATGGAATTTAGAGAAAGGTATAATGTTGTAGAGGGACAAAGGAAAACATGTGACAACATGCCAGCCCTACACACTAGGTGCTACCTTTCCACCTTTGACTTTGGACGTTTCAAATAGCTAATGTGGTATTTTGGACTGTGTAAGATAATAATATGATATGTAAAAATATTTTGTTACCTTAAAGACCTTTGAAAGGATTAAGTGCCCAGAAGCTATAAGGACTTTGGATTTTGAAGTCACATGGGAAGTAGACCACTCTGCTAGTCACAGGTTTCCCTAATTCAGCAAAGGTTATCTATCCGGAGCAGGGCTTGTCAAACTTCAGTGTGCTGGGAATAGCCAGGGATCCCATGAAGATGGAGATGCCTCATTGGCACAGCGGGGGTGAGGCTGAAGTTGTGCATCTCTGCCCAGCTCCCAGCTGCTGCTGCTGCTGCTGCTGCTGTGCCCGGGACCACTCAGCTGCTAGGCTTTAGGATTGTTTCCAGAGTTATTTGATGAGAGGCAGCTTTGAACGCTCCATGCTGACAGAGCATCAACATGTGCTCATGAGATGTGCCTGTTTCAGGAGTCGACACTGGCCCGTGGACCAAATCCAGTCCCTGTATGTTTCTAAGGCATCTTTTTGGACCATAGCCATGCCCATTTGTTTACATATTATCCATGGCCTATTTTCTGCTACAGCATGGACTTGAATAGTTGTGGCAAAAGCCCACAAAGCCTAAAATATTTAATGTGACCCTTTACATAAGAAATTTGCCAGCGCTTGGCATAAAGTCAGTAGCTTTTCAAAACTCACTGTCTGTTCCATTCCTTCCACCTTTCCATGATTGATGACTCCTCAAACGTAACGTGTGTAGGAGTCTGTGTGTAGGTGAGAGTGGTGGACTCTGGGGCACATTGGGAGTTCTCAGTTGATTCTCATTCATACGTGTGTCCATTTCCCCATTAAGAATGTTGTTTTTAGGCCGGCGCCGTGGCTCACTAGGCTAATCCTCCGCCTAGCGGCGCCGGCACACCGGGTTCTAGTCCCGGTCGGGGCGCCGGATTCTGTCCCGGTTGCCCCTCTTCCAGGCCAGCTCTCTGCTGTGGCCAGGGAGTGCAGTGGAGGATGGCCCAGGTGCTTGGGCCCTGCACCCCATGGGAGACCAGGAGAAGCACCTGGCTCCTGGCTCCTGCCATCGGATCAGCGCGGTGCGCCGGCCGCGGCAGCCATTGGAGGGTGAACCAACGGCAAAGGAAGACCTTTCTCTCTGTCTCTCTCTCTCACTGTCCACTCTGCCTGTTAAAAAAAAAAAAAAAAAAAAGAATGTTGTTTTTAACAGAAGCAACTTAAATCCAGTGGAACATCCCAGCAGTTTTCAGGGTGCGTGCATCACTGTGGCATACGGTAGATGTTGTGCACTAATTTTAATTTTGAAGTGTCATTTTGATTTTTAAGGGTGACAGTTCAAATCATGGTACTTCAAAGTAAACCACCCCAGACAAAGGCTTATGCTTTAATCACAGCAGTATTCCCAAAGATTTCTGTGGGACTTTTCAGGCTTACAATTTTATGTTTCTTCAGTAGTTGTACCTGCTTGAAGTTAGTTATGGCGATTCTTGGGAAAAGGGAACTCTAACGAGATTTCTCTTTGCAGATTCATCAGTAAGTTTACTTTAATATACTGTGTAAAAACAAAAATTCTTTAAATGAATAAACTAAACATTTGGAAGGCAGCTCTGCTCACCACTATACCACCAACGCACACATAAACTAAACATTTGGAATGCTTTTCCCATGAAATTGCCAAGTGAAAGTCTTAAGTGGAAGAAATGTATGTGATCTTGTGTCAGAAGTATTTAGTTATTAGCCTGCCCTGTTTAGTGCCCGGCAAACACATGAATCTCAGGAACTTCGTTGTGTTTCATTTGTTCCTCTTATTTCCACAGAACTTCATAGCAACCGAAGTACTAAAGTTATTCAGTCTTAAAAAGGAGCCAAACAACAAAACAGACTGGCAGAAAATGATGAAATTTGGAAGAAAGAAGAGAGATCGAGTGGATCATATCTTGGTCAGTATGTCCAAGCACACCATTTTTATCTCGAGCATATCTTCTGAAATCAGAATGTAGATGGATTCCAAACGGAAAAAGGATATGATTGATCCTAAGTCTATAAGATTAATTTTCAAAATTTTTCTGTTTGTTTATTTAAAAAGCAGAGAGAGCAGGCTTCCCCCAAATACTCAGAGTAGCGAGGGCTGGGCCAGACCAGAGCCAGGAGCCCAGAGCTCAGTGCGTGTCTTCCACATGGATGAGAGTGGTGCACACTGACAAGCTGGAATGGAGAGGAGCCAGGAGCAAATCCAAGGACCCTGGTGCAGAGTGCCAGCGTCGGCAGCAGCAGCTTACCTGCCGCACCCCCACCCCGATGGTAAAGTCGTACCGCTCCCACACGCTGCGTCCCTCCCTCCCCCCCGTTTTGGAAATTGCCTTCTTTTATACTTGGTCAATATTTAACGTAACAGTACTTAAGAAATCAAAACTTGCATGGAAGCAGAGTTTAAGACTGTAGATTGAAAACACCGGTGTGGATTCTGGGATCAGGCTACCTGAGTTTAAATCCCTGTTCTGCCACTTACTTCGTGTGTAATCTTGGACAAGTTTACCTAACCTTTTTGTGCTTCATTTCTATCTACCAAATGAAGATGATATTAATAAGTACCCACCGGAACAGATTATTGAGGATTAAATGAGTGTTTAGATAGAGTCATACACCGATTAATGACAGGTGCGTTTTATGAAATGTGTCATTAGGCAGTTTCATCACCGTAGGAACATCAGACAGTATACTTAAGCCTAGACGGTGTAAGTCAGTCATTTCACGTGGCCTCTTGATGCTGCCGAGACACGTGGGAAGCGTGAGGCGTATACAGCTCCTGCCAGAGTAACACAGCATTTTTATTGAAAGCTTTTATGTATTTTGTTTAAAGCTTGTATGTATTTATTTGAGACAGTTACAGACAGAGTGAGGGAGAAACAGAAGGGTCTTCATCTGCTGTTCACTCCCCAAATGGCCAGAGCGGCCAGAGCTGAGCTGATCTGAAGCCAGGCGCTTCTTCCAGGTCTTCCATGTGGGTGCAAGGGCCCAAGCACCTGGGCCATTTTCCACTGCTTTCCCAGGCCATTAGCAGGAAGCTTGATTGGAAGAGAAACAGCTGGATTCAAACCACTGGCGGCCATGTGAGATGCCTGCACCGCAGGCAGAGGCTTAGCCCAATCCTCCACAGCACTGGCCCCCACAGCATACTGGTTAAACAGTGAACTTCCGTTTTCTTATAAGTAGAAGAGAAATAACACTGTTAAATAATGATAAAAAGTACAGTGTGTCACATACATAAGCCAGTAACATAATCTTTTTTTTTTAAAGTTTTATTTATTTATTTGAAAGTCAAAGTTACACAGAGAGAAGAGAGAGGCAGAGAGAGGTCTTCCACCTGCTGGTTCACTCCCTTGTTGGCCACAATGCCCGGAGCTGCGCTGAGCCGAAGCCAGGAGCTTCTTCCGGGTCTCTTACGCGAGTGCAGGGTCCCACGGACTTGGGCCATCTTCCACTGCTTTCCCAAGCCATAGCAGAGAACTGAATCGGAAGTGGAGCAGCCGGGACTTGAACTGGCACCCATATGGGATGCTGGCACTGCAGGCGGTGGCTT